ATAGCTGGAGACAAACCGTCAAAGAACAAAGGAACTGGGGCGGTATAAATATGGACTAAGTTATGGGGAAGTTGGAACAGGTGAGCAGAAGCAAAAGTGACTACAGGGCTGATGAAAGACATGTGAAACTATAGGGCAGGGCAGACAATCACAAAGGCGGGAAAACAAAACAAAAAAGGCAGGAAGTAAAACAAGACAAGACACATGAGGAGTTTACTTCAAAATAAAAGCAGGAAACACTAAACCTGAATGAAAAACAGGAAACAAGGGGCAAAAAAACAAACAAAACTCTGTGGAAACAGAATATTGCAACATAGTACAGTCTCACCATAAAAGGTCAGAGGGCGTGAGCCAGACTGGGACAACTACCATTAAGGGGACTACCTTAAAACTTGCTTTACCTCTTGCGTCTGTATTCACATGTAGAATCTGTAGGCAACGGGACAAGATTTTGGTACCGCAAGCGGTGTGGTTTCCATTTGTAGTCCGCATAGCATTGACCAATCACGTTTGAGCAGTCTTTGGTTGAATGCAGGTACATCAGTCAGTACAGTGGATTTCCGAAAGAATGCAGCCCCACCTGCCCCTATCAACCTGTGTGACTCCCCCGTCGACGCGGTGGAGTCCTTCTGCTTCCTGGGCTCCACCATAACCCAGGACCTCAAGTGGGAGCTGAACATCAGCTCCATCACCAAGAAGGCTCAGCAGAGGATGCACTTCCTGAGGCAGCTGAAGAAATTCAACCTGCCAAACACAATGATGGCGCACTTCTACACAGCCATCATTGAATCCATCCTCTGCTCCTCCATCACGGTCTGTACGCTGCAGCCACAGCCAAGGACAAGGGCAGACTGCAGCGCATCATTCGCTCTGCTGAGAGGGTGATTGGCTGCAATCTGCTGTCCCTCCAAGACTTGTTTGCTTCAAGGACCCTGAAGTGAGCAAGAAAGATTGTAGCCGACCCCTCTCACTCTGGAGATAAACTGTTCGAGCCCCTTCCATCTGGCAGAAGGCTGCGGTCCATCAGGACCAAGACCTCACGCCACATGACCAGTTTTATCCCATCTTCAGTTGGGCTCATCAACAAAGCCCGGGACCCCCACTGGCTGACTCTGTCATCCCCAAGACAATTTCCTACCGGTACACTCCCCTGCACATCCCTTCTTGTTTCTGTTTCTATATTTAAATACACTTGACACTTTTACATTCCCCTTACATTACAGTTGTACAGTACAGTACTGTTATCTATTTGTGCACTACATTTTATTGTACATTTTAACATGTTTCTGTTTTTTGCACTGTGTTGATTGTTTAATGTTATGCACTATCCACCATGTCAAATTCCTTGTATGTGCAACATACTCTGACAAATAAACGGTGCTGATTCTGACATCAGTTCAACAGTCCGTATGGAGAGCAGAAACGGTGGAAAACTTTGGCCAAAATGCAATCTCGTAACCCACCAGCTATCATCTCGCGATAATTTAGCATTTTATTGGTGTGAAATTAGACGGTTATGTGCTAGTTGTGAAACAATCCGGTCATACGCGTTGTCTCTCAACTCCAACTCCAGTCTCGTGTCTCTAGTTGCTAATCGGACTGTAAACATTGAGCAGCACTCGGAGAAGGAATTTTTGGCCCAGATGTCCGCTGACTACACTGGAGCCCCAGAAATATGGCACCTCGGGCCCTGCGGCTTATCCGTCGTTAGTCGATGGATTCCGTGATTGGTGTGAGCCCAGCTATATGCATATATTATAATATATATAATATAAATATTATGGGAAAACATGAAGGGCATATTCTGTATGCTTTCATACCTGACATGCATCAAATAAACTGATCTCATATTGTATGTGTGGATCATTCAGCAAGTTTCTCATTTTGATCAAAAACCAAAATAATTTGATTTGATTGATTTTTGTTCTGCATTCTTACAAAGGGGCACGCAGGTCATCACACCTGTTCACATTAATAGTCGTAAGGCTGAACAATTTGCATTTTTTTGTCTGACTAATATTGCAATTACAACAAGATACAGAGTTTTAAACAAGATACATTCTCAAGATTGTTCAAAGCATAAATGTACCTACAATCACATTACATGATGCAGTTGATGCAAAAATCAACATTCAACATAATTAGTCTCTACAAAGAATTTGAACAATTCAACCAACATTAATCAAGACGTTACTTTAGTGGTCTTAACATCAGTCAATAATATTAAAATATGATCTTTACAATTGAAGGCTGATATTTGAACAACATATTTGGCCAGTTATGGCGATAATGATAAACTGCAAGTGTGTTGTGTCTAACATGTTTCTTAAAAGAATAAGACAACATCACAAATGTTTTTTTTTGTCATTTGTCCATGTCACATTAACATTATTTAGCTACAGCTGAGAACATTTGCAGATATTGGTCTCACAAAGTTAATTGTGAAGTGTTTTTGGTTGAAGACAATTCAAGATGTCTAGTTACACAAGACCCACCCAGTAACCCCTCTGTGTTCATCCACTGGATCAACAGAGATAACACACCATGTTTGAACAGTAGGTTTGTCTGTGGAGACCTCCCTGGAGAGGTTTACTTAGGCCTAGCAGTTTGGACCCCTACCCATAATCCTCCTGCAGACACACCTGTATAGGAGAGTATAAAGAGCCTGGACTGAACTGAGTCAAACATCAAGCTTCAAGGACTCTCTCCACATCAGCTCCACAGCCACCAGACCCAACATGAATATGACTCCCTCTGCCAACCTGCTGCTGCTCCTGTTCGGCCTCTCTCAGGCCTATCCTATAATGGAGGAAGGAAGCGGAGCAGAGGCCCAAGTGGACGAAGATGACACCGTCGACATCAGCACCAGGATTCTGACCTCCAACAACGGCACCAATGAGATTCTGTTGGAAGGAGACCTGTTGGCTCCCAGTACCAGAAACGCCATGACGTGCTGGTCCCAGAAGTGCCTGTGGAAGAAAGCCTCCAACGGCCTGGTGACGATTCCCTTTACCATAAACAGTCAGTTCACCAGCAGGGAGAGGCAATCGATCGACCGCGCTATGAAGGCCTACCACAGCAGCACCTGCCTCCGCTTTGTCCCCCGTCGGAACGAGAATGACTACATCAGCGTTGAGAACAAAGCCGGATGCTTCTCCTCTCTGGGCAGAACGGGAGGCAGACAGGTGCTCTCTCTCAACAGGCAGGGCTGCGTCTACTACGGCATCATCCAGCACGAGATCAACCACGCTCTGGGCTTCCAGCACGAGCAGACCAGGAGCGATCGCGACAACTACGTCCGGATCAACTGGGAGAACATCAACCCGCAGATGGCCTACAACTTCCACAAGCAGGACACCAACAACCTGAACAGTCCCTACGACTACTCCTCCATTATGCACTATGGAAAAACAGCCTTCTCCATCCAGCATGGGAAGGACTCCATCACTCCCATCCCCAACCCAAATGCCCAGATCGGCCAGAGGAAAGGCATGTCCCACTGGGACGTCAAGAGGATCAACCTGCTTTATGGGTGCCAATAACAAAGCTTCCAATCCCTTCTGATCCAAAGTTATCATTCAGCAAATCAATAGAAACATTTTCCACTTATCTGTACTTCTTCAAAAACAACAAGAACCTGCAATCATCAGCAGCTATAGCTATCAGTTCCTGTGACAGTATTCTGTCTGTCATTTCTACAATATCTGTAATAAAGTTAAGTCAAACTAAATAAAAATAAAGTTGATTAGCAGCATTTGTGTGTCTACATTCCCCCTTTTCTTTCTGCCTTTGATTGTGTCATTTGTCCTTCTTTTCCCTCCATACCTTTTGATTGATTATGACTTTGTAATGTCCCACTGAGGCCA